GCCCCAAGCAGGAGGAGAAAAGCCAGGTGTGACGGGCCAGCGGCCGCGTGCTTGCCCGCTCCCCTGGCCGGGCGCGGTGGCTTCTCGGAGTGGATGGGGAGAAGGGGGCGTTCGGGGTACCCTCCAGTCGTGCTGCTCATAGGGCCGCGCTGGTGTCCGGCTGGCTGGCCACCGTGGGAGGTGTGGGCATTGCTGGGGAAAAAAAGGACGTTCTCGGCAAATAATTGTTCGTAGCCTTTACTGCTCTGTCACCAGTAGTTAGGAACTCCAGTAATTCCCTCCCCTGGCCTATAACTGCATTTTCCTTAAGCTGTTGTAAGATAGTGTTGTTTTTTTTTTCCCGAGTTGTCTTTAAATCATTAACTTTCTCAGCAATACAGGTTCCCATATGTAAGACAAAGAGTGCAGACTCTACAGTTACTGGGGGAGCATGTGGTAGTTGCAGGCCGTGTGGGAGGCAAGAAAAATTGATGTGAATAAAGATAAGCTGTATGAATGGCTGCAGCTTGCAAATTTCACTGTCATTTGGAGATTTATTCTAGTTTGGGACGCGGTAGAGTTAATCCAGGAGTTGTGGCCTGTTTTGTGGGAAAGGGCGGTGGGTGTGATTAGGGGAGGTAGGGAGGATTTTGTGTACGTTAAGGATTTGCTTTCATTACAGGCTTCTGAGTGTCACTGAATTGGCATAACCCCTAACGTACATGGGCAGATCTACCCCCTCCACTGCCTGAGCTGTGACAGCGAGCTCCCCTGGCACAAAGGGCTGCCTGCCGGTATTAAGGGTTGTGCTGCTTCTCTTACACCGGTAGTCTGTCAGATCCCCAGCGCATGAAATGTTGAACCCTAAATGTAGATTTTCATGCCACCTGAATTGTAGAGAGATGCTGTTACATTGGCTCTGTTTATTTATAAGTAACTTTTTTAGGTCTGTAGGAAGAACCTTTGTGTTCCTAAAGGGTTTTTGCTAGCTCATCAGATGCTGTGCTGCCCAGGGATTGTCAGGGCAGAGGAGTGGCTGAATTGTTGAGTTCTGTTAGTCTGGAAAGGGAGGACCCTTTTTTCAGGACGTTTGCATGTACTGGGTGTGTCACACCAAAACCTGACTTGGGTACCTATCGAAAGTGACTCCTCTGGGCTGACCTGCAGCAAAGAAAAGGAGCAAACACTGTGCAGCGTATGGTGTAACGGGTCCCGGCGCAGGTCTTGTGGCCTTGGTCCTCTGTGGTTGATGTTCTAGATTTATGCAGCCTGATACCTCTGTTTAGATTTCTGCATTCTCAAGAACAACAGTTCAGTTCTTGTTTTGCTACAGATCTTATGTGAGCACCAGACGGGCAGTGGCTCATAGCTTTCATCTCATCCGAGACTGGATCTTCAGCTTGTCACGTTAACCAGACTTGCAACTTCTTCCACCGTAGCCGTTCTGTCAGAGCAGAGCTTTGCACTGTTGTCTGCGGAGGCACCAGCGGTCTCCATCCCCTTTGGTTTCATGGATGTTTGCTAGTTTACTTTTAGGAGTGGCATTGATTTCCGCCCCCGCCCCCTTACATGTGGAAAAAGCAACCAGAAATTGTATAAAGAAAAATTCAACGTGTTTATTTTCACTAAATAGTTTACAAACATTACTGTTTTTGCAAAATACCAGAAGTTTAGTGCTTTAGTGAAGCAGTGAAAAGCAAAAGTGAAAGTGGTGCGATTGTTCAGTGTGGATTCGATCGCCTTCCTGTTATTTGAGCAGTTTTTAGTTGGTAGCATATAGTCTCTTAGAACTGTTTAAAAGAAGTCCTTAACTGAAATAATGGTTCAAGCAGCTGTTGAATGTAGATGATGCCTAGGATAAAGCATGAGTTTATCACTGGTGAGGCAGCAGCAAGGAAATGTTGCTTTCTTGGGGGTGACCTGTGGGTTTCCCCCCGCCCCGGCTCGTTGCAAGCTGCATGTTGTGTAAAACTACTTTGGAGAAGACAGACGTGAGTTCACATTTGGACAAAAGAATCAAGAGAATTAAAATGAAGGAGAATAAGCTTTTATGGACTTAACAGCTTTGGCCAGAACCTGAGCTTTTCCACGTAAGTGCTGTGAAGAGGAAGAGGTGTTTTTACAAAGACGTTTTCTTCCAGGTTGTTTGTTTGAACTGATTTTGGTTTCGTATTTTCAAAGGGTAATATACCAGGCAGCCTGACTGGATTTAATTTCCCATTTCAGTCGAAGGCTCCTTAAATTTTAACCTGTATCGCATAGTTCTGCAGCTTCGCAGAAGATGAACCAGTAAAAACAAAGTCAGGGAAAGCAAAGCACCATGTCTGGGGCTAGCTGTCCTTTCCAAGGCACTGACGAAGAGCAGTAACTTTGCTTTACACAGAAAGAACAAAATGAGAATCCCCTAGTTGTAGTTTGGGTGCGACAGCTGGCGTGTGTGTAGGGTAACAGAGAATGATTCCTGCAAATTCCTGTCTCTATGTGTAACTTCAGGCAATTGTCAATTTTTTTTTTTTCCAGACTCCGTGAAAACGAAGGCCAGTTGGGATGGCAGTCAGACTAAGTGGGTGAGTTTCTATATAAAACTAACTAACTTTGAATTTAAAGTATTTGCAGATTTGTTAAATACAGAATTTCTTATTGGTGCCAACAGCCTGACTCCGTTGGTGTTTAAGTGGAGCTCTGGTATTCTAGTGCATTCTTTTACCTCTGCTTCTGTTGCGTTGCAAGCTGTGCTAGAGAAGACGTAGGAAATTCATTTTACCCAATCAGCAATTGTAACAATGGACTACAAACCTGCAGAGCAAGCCAGTTTGCTGGAAAACAGGAATTCCTGCAGCGCAGCACTTGTCACAGACTACCCAAAGAGGGCAAAGATTCAGGAAGGTGAATAAATTGAACATTGCTTGAATGAGGTCAGGAACAGTCTCCCGGAGGAGAACCCTGCCCTAAAATACTACTTTGAAAGTAGAAGCCAGTTTAATGTGCAGATTAACCCTTCTCATTTGAGCAAACGTGTGCAATCCTGGATCTTTGCAGATCACAGCCGGACACTTCAAAAACCTGTGTACTACATTTGTTTAAAGAAAAAATAAATCACAACTTGTCTTGTTACAGCTGTTACTTTTACCATTTCTTTGAGAATATCTGCAACATAAATGTGTATTTGACTTGCAACAGTATCATACACTTGGTATAATAACTCAGGTTGTCAACAGAATTATTCTGTGAGGCTCAAGGTTGCCTCTCCGTTCTTCTCTGAAAAATGCATTAACCGTTGCCGTCCGTACCAGAAGTCAGTTATAGCCCAGTTATGCATTGCAAAATTCTTCATCAGATACAATGGTTGACCTAAATTATTATTTGATTTTTATCCACCTAGAATAACTAAGATCCTAAGCATCAGACTAGACCTTTGTAGCCTGGTGTTCACAAAAATCATACTCACTGGTTCATGGTTTAATCGTGCTACATCTCAGTATTTTGTTTCCTTTTCCCTTGCGTGCTAGGGGGTACGATCGAGGTAATACTGTGATCCGGTAACGTGCGTCATGGTAAGGGTATGCCTTTAGTTGTTTCAGGAAAAAGCTGCCATTATCTGCTCTCCTTTAACGTTCTTGATAGTTTCAATAATATGCATAACATTAAAGTGTTTGTAAATTGATATTAAACTGTTTGTGACTTCACCTAAATAAATTTTTTTATATATATATGCTGTTCTTAATCTTAGCCATTTTTTTCCTCCCTTGTGCTTATAGTGCCACTTCCCCTTTTGTGATCACTTTTTTTTCCTCCATCACCTGACCTCTTAGAAAATTTCCGTTTTTCGGTTACGGAAGCACAACTGAATCTTAACTAGTGACAGAAAACAAATTGGCCTTTGAAATTTGCTTTCTGTATTCCGCCTAAAGGCTTGATAATGTTGTTAACTGTAGTTGTCATAGCTTATTCATTATTATGAATTATTCATTCTTGCCAGTTGTTGAGACAACAGTAGGTATGGGAGCTTCATCTGTCCGAAAATTAAATAGCTGTTGTACTGAATTACTGGTATTTTAATGGCCTCTAAACTGGGACTCTGATCCAGAGAATGCTGAGATACCTTCATTCAGTACAGTAAAATACAGAGCACTTTTACTTACAATTCCATACCTTTCATTTTTGAGATGGGGCCGAAGCTCAGTAATCAGATCACTTGGGCTGGTTTTCCCTTGTCTTGTTCCTAAGAAATCGTAACCGGGTTACTCAGTGGTCTGCGCTGCATCTCTTCACCATCGTTGCTACATGTGAACCACCTCAGGCATCTCTTCTGAAGGAAATGCTGTAATAGTGGCAGGATCTGGGGAAGACACGGGCTGGTGGGGAGGGAGGAAGGATGAGCAGACATGGGTCACCTCAGTCCCGCTGATGAGTCGCAGAAGTAGGGGTCTTAACCTACTGACTCAGAGCAACAAAGAAGCAACAGTTTTGTTTTTCTTGTCCTACTTGGGAGCAGCATTCCCAGATGGAGCCTGAAACACTTCCTAATGTTCTTCGCCGAGTTCTCCTGCCAAGAATTTCTTGGGTTTGTTTGTTACTCTCTCCAGTCTTCATGCAGTCTGGTGCCCTTCCTGGCACTCCGTCATCTCCCAGTTTCCTGGTTGCTACTGGTGCGGAGTTGGACCACCCCATCCTCAGTGTCTGCTGTAGACAATTGCCAGGGCTCTGTCGGGCTCTCCAGGGTCAGTGACTGCTTTCAGAGTGCTGCCTGCTCTCACAGACACTTGCCTTTCATGTTGTTAGCAGCGGTGTGTTTACAACATGTGGAACTTCCCCCTCCCTTCCTTGGTTTCCTTCTTCATGAACTTGGCCTCTGTCACTGTCCTAGACCCACGCAGTGACTTCACTGTGGTACTTGTGCACCCTTGCTTTGGCACCGGTTGTTGCACATTGGTTTGGTTTGGCACCTTGCTGTGCTGTAAGCTTCTGCATCAGATTTCCTCATCCGTCAGTTTAAGTGTTGGACTTGGGTGGTTTTCTTCAAACTCCAGCAGTGAGTTACTGAGTGGGTTTGGAGCTGTCGTGAACACCGGGTGAATCTCGCCCTGACCTCCTGATGTCGTCTTGTCCTTGTTGAGGCAGCGTGCTGGCTGGGGCGAAAGGGTGGTGCAGAACTGCATGTCCTCTGGTTTACAAGTAGGTGTCTTCAGGTGGTGATAAGCCAAGCTTGCCGTCATGTACTTGGTAGGGCAGGCAGCACGGAGAGGCTGAAGATGCCTGCTGTCTGGAAGTAGGCGTGGGGGACAACCCTTGAAAAAGGCGATGCAGGAAGGTAGAGCGCTCGGTCGGTGAGGCTTAGCATGGAAGCAAACTGTGATTCTGTTACTCTTTCAGTAGCTGATCGGCAGCAGAAATGAGGGATACGCAGGAATTCTTTTTTTTCATGCTATTTCTGTAAGTCCTATTGCTTTGCATTTGGGGGATGTCCTCTTTTCAGTGTTGCTGCAAATTCTTAACGCTTTTCCCAGAAAATCTTGGAGCGTTTGTACAAAGTCGAAGCAAAGCTTTTCACCGAGACTGATGGAATTCCCAGTTGTGAATATTTGTAAGATGTTTGGGAATTGATTTTGTTTGGGAGGACCAGCATCTTATTAAAAAAAAAAAAAAAGGTTCTGTCGGTTGTCTAGAATTAAGCAGCACGTACTTCGGGGGAGTAATTTCTGATGTTTATTTTTAGGTATTTCTAGCAAGACAGAATGTTGTTGGTTTTTTTACAGATGTGCTTTTTCATGTGCTGGATTAACATGCACTGTTGTTACAAAGAACAAATTAAAACCAGCACAGACACTCTGACAGCATAAAATGTGTTGCAACTCAGGGACGGGGCTGAAGTATGTAAGTCTTTAAGCAGGCAGACACGACTGGGGACATCACAGCCGCGCTTCAGGACGGGTCAGATGGGATTCCTAACTTCTGTGTGCTGCAGTTAGGTTCGAGATGTTTGGAGCATCTGAAGAAGACGTGGTGTTACTGCTCTTCTGGCCTTACTAGTATAATGATGTGCCTTTAAGGGTGAGATGACAGCAGGACATCTTGCACGTGGGGTAGTCTGTCACATCTGCAGCCGAACAAATTTGGTACTTCTGAGTTCTGATGGGATCCTGTCAGTTATTCAATGTGAATTCCAATTTAAGCTTAAACTGGTGCTTTCCCCTCTTCCTCCCGTCATCTCACCAGCTTGTTTTCTCCTTTATAAAAGTCTGGTGAACGCAGCAAGCCTGTCCTGAGGGCTAGCCACGGGATCAGGCAATGTGACCAGAGTGTCTGCACCTATGGAGTCCTTCAACCCCTGTAGGCCGTTCTGCCGAGCTGGTGTGCTCTGCCATGAAGATACTCAGTACGTGTCTAAGATGGCCTGGATGGAGTGCTGGTGGGAGGCTCCCCAGCTGCCTCCAAGGGTTCGTGTGTTTTTGAGAAGCTGGTGGTATTGGCAGCAAGTCTTTCTGTACACTCCTGCAGTAAAACCAAACCCAAAACCCCAGAGACTGTTGTAACTGCTGAGGGGAGGGGTGTGAGTCAGTGCTAACAGCTTAGGTGTTTGTGGAAATGTTGCATAGTGAAGTTATCAAATGTTTTGGGGGGTCATGTGCTTAATAGGGATGGCAACAATTGATAATGCCTCGGGGGTGCTTTTGGCAGTTATTTCTACAAGGAGATTATGTCCCTGAAAACGTATGGAGAAATTATAAAGCTGGATCTGGCTTCTCCCCTCTTGTTTTGGCGTTCGGGTTTGACTGTTACCCTGTCATAAGGTTCACAGTGCACTAGTCCAGCCCAATGCAGCACCTAAATTTTTATCCATATAATCTTCTGGATTCAATACTTTCTTTTTTAGAATTTGTCTCAGGGGGTTTTTTCCTCCCTCGCCCCAGGGAATTCTTGTCAAAACCAGTTGGCATTTTTGTGTTTTGGCAGTTTACTGAAGAATTGGCTAAATGGCAGCTGAGATTTAAAAAGCAGAAACACGTTTACAAGATAGTACGTGTTTATAAATGTGAAATATTTCAAGAAGTACTTTTTACCTTTTATTGGTGGCTGTTGCTCTTTCTTTTAAAGAATTCTTTCTTCTTCCCAAAGTCTGGGTGCGGTGCTGCTGTGTTAGTATTTCCAGGGCAGCAGGGGAATGTGTGCATCCAAACAAAATCTGTTTTCTTTAAGTTTTTTTAACTGCAAACACTTGAGCCCATGAAATCCTTTCCAAGTAACTCGGTCACTGTTTAGCTTAATACTTTTATTTTGGTTCTGTGCAAAGTCTAAAACTCAAACTCAGCTTCAGTTGTTTGTTTTTTCCCCCCTGAACACATAAAAGCATTGCATCTGCACCTACGTCGGTGGACATGAAGGATGTAATTTGCCACTTAAAATGGCAGTCCTAGTGATCTGAAGTCAGGAGTAGCTGTTTAAAAAAGAAATATGGCTTAACACTGGCTGCAGGTACTGCAAGCACCCTCTGCATTGGTGATGTTGTCCAGAAATGCCCTGTGTGGGATAACCGCTCCAGTTTATTTCTGCGTGAAGTCTCAGCCCCTGGCTGTGCTTGGTGTTCTGCTGAGGTGCAGTCTAAGGGCTGAGGGTGCCAGGGTTAGTTGGTGGGGCTGTTCTGTTGATAAGCTGCAAGACAGCGTGGATGCAGGGGTCCTGGACTGTGTCTTCCCCTATAGATGTCCCTGGCCTAATGAGACAGCTCCTTGAGATGCCTAATGCGGGCCAAGAGTTTGGGCCTCCTCTGCCTCAACTTTCCACTCTCTGCTTGGGCATTCTGGCATTTATCTTCCAACATAGCTCCTTCATCTCTGTGGGTTTCTTTTTCACTCCGCAACAGTCAAATGTCAGCCACGCCAGTGTTTGGCAGGAAGAAACACCACCAGCGTGTGCAGTTGGTTCCCTACCGGGTGCACATCTCCCACGGATGATGTGTGAAGTGGAGAGGTATTTTTTCCCCTTAAAGCTGGGGAGTTTATACAGCTCCTTAACAGAGGTGCTTGGATTAGAAATGTTAGAAACCCCAGATTCTTGACAATAAAATAAAGATCAATGCGAGGTGGAGAAATCTCCGCGGGTGCCTTTGCTCAAGGCCTGCAGCTGTGCCTCTTGCTGCACTTGGTGTGACTGCAGGTGGTGAGGGACTTCAGGCAAGACGCTTTTCAAAGTGCTGTGGAGTGGGAGGGAAGCGTTTCTTTTCCTTCTTTCTGTGTCATTTTTCCTTGTGCTTTCTCCCTCACCAACAGTTTCCGAAGCCAGATACGTGACTTTGTTATCAAGTACTGGTGGATAACGGGGAAATCTCACTGCCATTACAGTGGATTGTTGGGAGAAATGACTGTTCACACCTGCAAGATCATGGAGGTTTTCTAGAAGCAGTACAATAGATTTGGTGGTATTGAAGGACAAAAAACTCACTTCAGGGGACCCGATCTGTCCTTTGCTTTGCCGCTGAGGAAAAGAAGATTCAGCTACACAGCTGAAATGTGACACAAGCCAGTGGAAAAGCTGTGGGTGAAGGTTTGGCACCAGAAGGTAAACGTGCATGTCGCTACTGCTCTAGGTGCTTGGTCGGCCAATACATAAGCAGAAACAGGAGCCCTGGCCAGGCTGCCAGCGATGCTGACCCACTGAACATGAGGGCACTTCACGGAACTGCTTACGGAGCCCCGTGGTTCAAGGAAGGGA